TGTATTGCAGGGACAAAAGGTTCAATGTTCCCATATATTTAAGAATGTTGCAGAACATGATTCATGTGTTCATCTTCTGCATAGAAGACTTGGCCATGCAAGCTTTAAAGTTTTGCAGCAAATGCAAGATTTTGCAGAAGGGCTAAATTTGAAGGGATGCAAAACATATTTGGATTGTGCAGTATGCAAAGCATCAAAGTCAAAGGCATTCCCAGTTAGTAAATGTAGCACAAGACAAACGAAAAGAGTTCTAGAGCTGGTCCATGCAGATCTGGTGGGACCTATGCAAACCAGTTTGGGAGGAGCAAAATATGCACTGGTAATTGTTGATGATTATAGCAGGTATTCATTTTGCTACTTGCTTAGAAGTAAGACAGAGGCGCTACAACAATTCAAACAGTGGGTAAGTTTTGTAGAGAGAAGGTACGGACAATAAGTGTGTCAGTTGCAAACTGACAGAGGTACTGAATTTATGTCAACAAAATTCCAACAATGGTTGGGGCAGTTGGGGATAAGACACAGACGTACAAATCCTTACACAGCAGCAGAGAACGGTGTAGCTGAAAGAAGGAATGGTGTTTTGCAAACAATGAAAGATTCATTATTGGAGGATTCTGGTTTGAGCAGGTCATATTGGGGAGAAGCCATATTGACTGCTAATTATATAGTTAACAGGCTGTGGAGTTCCTCCATTAATAACACTCCATATGCCATTCTATATGGGAGAAAGCCATCACTGGCACATTTGAGAATTTTTGGAAGTACTGCATGGGTACATATTCCAAAGGCAATCAGAAGAAAGGGACAGCAAAAGGCAAGAAAGCTCAGGTTTCTGGGCTATGAGCCATGGTCAAAAGGATATCGCTTTAGCGATGGAAGTAAAAGAATTGTAATTTCAAGGTCTGCTAATTTTGCAGAACAAAATTGGGACAGAATTAATGCAAATTCTGGGTATGTCTCACTTAATGACGGTGATCTGTTTAGTGACAATAACTCATCTAATGATGAAAAAATGAGTATAGAAGATGTCAATGTTCAGGGAAGAGAGGCTGAACAAGACATGAAACCAGAAAGACTTGACAGCAGTTAATACCTCATAGGTCAGAGCGATGTAATAAAGGAATTCCACCTGACAGGTATTCTGCCAGCAAGGTAAAGGTTTCTAATGTGTGGTATGAGCCAAGAAGTTATAAAGAAGTGTTGGCATTACCAAAAACTGAACAAGAAAGATGGAAGGAGGCCATGGATAAAGAGATGAAATCCATGGGAGACCATGAAGTATTTAAATCAGTGACTTTGCCACAGGGAACCAAAGCTGTGGGTTGTAAATGGGTATATAATAAAAAGGTATTGCCAAATAATGATGTACAGTATAAGGCCAGGTTAGTGGGACAAGGTTTTTCATAATTAAAGAATGTGCACTATGATGAAGTATTTGCGCCAACTGTGAAAAGTGAGAGTATAAGATTAGCACTGGCGTTGGCAGCGGCATATAAACATAAAATCTGGCACTTTGATATCACAATTGCATTTCTCAATGCTGAGTTAGAGGAAGAAATTTATATGATCCAAGCACCAGGATATGAAATTGCAAAACCTAACATGGTATATAAATTAAACAAGGCTATTTATGGGCTGAAGCAGTCAGCCAGAAACTGGAATATCTGTTTAGATACTGCTTTAAAGGATCTTGGATTTAAAAGTTGCAAAGCTGATAATTGTATATATACTGGACAGTTACAAGGAGGGAATTATCTACTGTTATCATTTGTGGATGATCTTTGCTCCATCGCAAAGGATGCATCACAAGTCAAAGAATTTGCTGATAAAGTAGGAAAGTAATTTGAATTAAAGTATTTGGGAGAAATAAAAAAATTATCTTGGTGTAGAGATACAGAAAAATGAAAAAGGTGGTTATATTCTCAGTCAAAGGAGAAAAATTGAGCAGTTATTGGAGAAATATAATATGAAGGATTGCAATACTGCTCTCACACCCATGAGTGTGGATTTTTATAATAGTTTAAGTGCAGACAAAGGTGAAACCCGTGATCAAGAAATATATCACTCAGCAATAGGGAGTTTGTTATATCTATCACAGTGGTCCAGACCAGACATAGCTTGCGCAGTAAGCATTTTGAGTCGTTTTACTGCGCCCTTACAAAGTTACATTGAATGGGTGTAAAAAGGGTTCTCAGATATTTAAAGGGAACTATACATTTGGGTCTTCAAATACAGATTACTGAGGAATTGAAATTAAAGTGTTACGTCGATAGTGACTATGCAAATGACATAAATACAAGGAAATCAAATTCTGGGATTATAATATTGTTTGGAGGGACTCTGATTGGATGGAAGTCCGGAAAACAAACAACTGTTGCTATTTCAACAGTGGAAGCAGAGTTTATTGCTTTATCTGAATTGTGTTCTGAAGTAACATGGTATGTACAGTTGTTGCAAGATTTAAATATTAATGTAAAAGAATCTGTAAAAGTATTTGAAGACAATGCTGCCTTTATAAAAATGGCAATTGGTGACAGGGTGAAGAACAGAAGTAAACATGTAAACATTAAGTATTGTAATGTCAGGGAAGCTGTAAAAGGAAAATTGATTAGTTTACATCATTGTTCTTCTGAGGATAATTTGGCAGACATGATGACTAAACCATTGGGTAATTTTCACTATGGAAAATGTGTTAAGTCAATAGGTCTGATTTCTCTTCCTGTCATGAAGGGAGGAGTGTTGGAATATTCATGAACAGGAAGAGTCATGTCGTAACTCAGTCAGCCAATGTGAGGAAAGTGCTACTGAGTCTGTGCAAAAAGAGTATTGAGTTAGGAGCTGGATTTCCAGTCTCAAGTTTTGTCTCTGATCTGTCTCTGTAAGAAGTCTTCATTAAGCTATGTTGATGTAAAGAAGAATGGTATTGTAAATATTTTTATATAAATATAAAGTTATTTGAATCAGCTAAATGCAATCAACTGTGAGAGCTTCTGATTTATTTTTCACCAATAGAGAAATTAAAATTCTCTAACAGTATTTGATGGTGAAGTTGAATTGGTGGAAATGTTGAGATTACTTTGTTTTGGTGACAATTTTCTGGGTTTTTTTTAAGGCTTCAAGAGGATAGAGCAGAAAACAAAGCACCCCAAGCTTCCACCTCTCCCCGGAGTATGGCAGAACCAGAAAATGATCAGAAAACCCATGCCCATAGAAAGATAGGGTTCTGACAGGAATACTGGTTTCAATGGAGTCAAGCAGAATTTGAAATTCCCATGCAGCAATACAGAACTAAATTCCAGGTTTCCCTAGCCCTCCCCTGTGATCCAGAGTATAGTCAATCCAGCACCACTATGATGTTATAAGAAACTTTGAGGTGTTTATGCTGGTGAAATTCCACACCCAGGGCAAATGACCTTGAAGATGCCAGCTCAAACTGGATTCCAGGCTGCTCTGTTCTTTGTCATCTGTCAATTGTCCTCTCCCAATTTCCCATCATAAAAGTATAAAGCAACCTGGCCATTTGTTCCCCTGTTCCCCTCCCTTGCCTCACTGATGTCAGAATGCCAGTGAGATGTGAAGCTGTGGCTGGTGATTCTGACAGCATCTTATTGCTGCTCTTGGTAAATGTCCTGTTGCCTGTTGTGCCCACCAAGCTTACCTGATGCTGCTGGGTTTCACTGCTTTTCACCTTCTTGCTCACCAGTAGCATGCTCTTAGCAGATGGTATTATCTTTCCTGGTCCTCCTCCTTCTTCCTTCTCCTTCTTTTTCCTTCTCCCATTTTCTTTTTCCTTCTCTCTTCCCCTCTGGTCATTTGCACCTAGTTGCTGATTCTACTCAATGGTTGAAGGGTACAAAGGCTCTCTCACCCATTCTCCTGCTCAGGTTTAGATTTTAATAAACTCAAAGCAATTATATATAGGAAAAGTATATTGAAAAAACGGAAAAAAACTGGACAAGGGCAGAAGCAGTTAATACTGCTGCCCAAAAAGTGACCATTTGAAAAAAAGCTATGTAAAAAAGGACAAATCATAAAGCAAGATCCTGTATCAATAGTTTATAACTGCAGAGATGGTGCACAGAATGTTATTACCACACTGTAAAGCTCCCAGAGATCTTAGATTTGACTAATCCTCTGCAAATGAGAGAAAACAATATGCTGTTTAGCAATTTGTTTAGCAATTTACAAGCACCCTAACAGTTGAAAGAATTGCAGTTCAGTTGAGTTTTAAACAAGCTAGAAGTGTTCTTGGACTGTTACTTTGTACCTGACTATGGGCATTTCCTCACGGCTATTTTAATGTTTTTAATACTATCCTTGAATTGGCAGGAATTATGTTCATGTTTCAACTGTTCTCATGCCTAAGCAAACGCTCTACATTTATTTTGGTTTGAATTGCAAAAGAGACAACAAAGAGGTGCTGTGTTTGGTAAAATGTGAAGATTAGCGTTAAATCTATTTACTTGGTTACATTATCAGGCAGCAACAAGGATCAATGATATAAACATGACAAAACCCTGTGAGTATTTTGCTTGTATAAGCTCTATTAAATCTTGGAATTTCAAAAATGCACATAATAAAAGTTTATATTGTTAAAAATGCAATATGCGACAACTTCCTAGATCAGTAGTGCACATATAGTAACATTTCAGGATTTTAGCAAAGGAAGAGACTCAACTCGGTTTGGAGACTCCTGTTCTTCTTGCTAAAATATGTATCACTGAATGTCCCTAGCATATTTTGCTTTAATATTCTTTCTCCCCAATTTCCTCTTGTTTTCACTGATACATGAAATCATTCAGTATTTGTTTGCATTGCTGTGTTACTCGCAGGATGAAGAATCTTTGATTACAAGGAAGCTTCAAGTTTAGAAGAAGAAAAAAATATTTATTCCTTATATGGCATCATTAGACTATTGAGCTCTGTGAATGGATGATTGCACTTTATTATGCATAGTTGTTTCATGCAGTCAAGTTGCTCAGAGCACTACCAGGAAATTACAGCCAGTTTCTAACAAAAGGCAGCATTTAAAGAAGCAGCAGATTCTTTGAACCCACTACCAGGAAATTACAACCAGTTTCTAGCAAAAGGGAGGATTTAAAAAAGAAACTTTTAAAATCAAGATCATAAGTATGGGAAAATCAGGTTGGTAAATGATTATAATTTAAATTGTTCATAAATTTGTTTGTTTTGCCCCATATTTTCATAGGTAACTTACATTGTTAAAGATTATTCATTCAAACTTAGCTATACCCTTAGACTGGAAGGAATTTCTTTCTAGCAAAGAACACACTTACATTTAAAATTTGGTATCATTTGAACTTCCAGAGGGGGTAGTAATTAAAAACTGATTTGCAGAACCCTAGCAACCAACCAATCCCCATTTTTCTTAATTTTGTATTAATTATTGTTGTAGAAAGATTTGATTAATGCTGTAAGAAATAGTGAGTAGTAAGAATATCTGTCAATTCAGATGCTTGCTTGTATATTGTTTGTAGAATTAGCAGCTATTATGGATGGTCTAAGATGAAGCAAAACATTCTTATCTCTGATTATGTTGTTTCAACAAATGGTAACCTATTTCATTGTTTTTTCTATTTTATAACTATGTATTTGTTTTGCAGTTTTTATAGCCCATCTTACTCAAGCAACTTTAAAATTTCTGAGCAAGTTACATTATGAACAAAATAAATAAACACATTCAATATATAAAAGTAGTAATAGAAAAAAACTAAATTATGAAATTCAATAGTAATAATAAATTAGCCCTTACCTGCATAATGATGGATTACCAACAATTTTAATTAGGCTTGAAGGTCCAGCAAAATAAAACTGTATTTTAAGAATCCTCTAAAAATTATGAAAGAGAAAACTTTATAAACCTCTCAGATTCTGGAAACAATGTAATTTTTATAGAAGCTGCTCTGAATTCAATATATTTTATTTTGTGATTAATGTTATCTTGGATTAGACATGCAGTGTAAAAGACTTTTAATTCCCTGAAAATGATTAGTATTCTTCACTGCTGATTTTGTGCCCTGTCTGATTATCACATTTAATTTTTGACAAGGCTTTTAAATTTTGTTAAAATGGCAATATATTGCTGTTGGTTTCTTTATCATAAGAGATTTAGTAATAATACATTTAATTTAATTAGATTAGATGAGAACTCTTAAAACATTTTTGAAAAAATATCGGGGTGAAGTCTAAGAAATAAGTTTCACTTCAAAAGTTGGAAGATGGATACCTAACGACATCTAGTGGTTGAATAGAGGCATAGCACCAAAATCAGATTTGTCTGGAGTAAACTTGGCATGAAGCCCAGGGATAAGCTTGCTTCTTTGATGTGTTTGGAAACTTTTAGCTCTGTAGACTGCAGCTGGAAGCAGAGAAAAATATTCTGGATTGTTTTCTGCATGGTGGGAGTTACAGAGTGTTTTGAAACATGCTGATCTCTTTGGATTATAAACATCCATTGATTTTTAACTTCAAGAATTATTTAGAGACAGAAAAAAAGTTATCTTTTGGTTATCTCCATTGGGGGGGGGACACCTACGGATTGATTTTAGGATGGCTGGACATTCTGGATAACAAACATCGGTTAATTGACAACTTTTGGATTTTGGATTGAAGAGTGGTAGTAGACTTTGTAATTTTCCTCTTAGACCTGGTGCTGATGGACAGAGATGGATTATAAAATTTTTTGTTGGAGGCTTCTGGTTTGCGAGTGTGGTGCCTGTGGATGTGCGGGGAGACCGCTCCGCCATCCGGTATTACTCCATCAGAAGACCCTGGAAATGATTGAAAGTCACCCTGGAGGGGCGACCACCACTGAGGAGGACCCTTGATTGATCATGGAAGGGCGGCAGCCCTTCCATTGGATCCTAGGCAGCTCCTTTGGGCCGACAAAGAAAAGATCGAGCATTAACATGGCCGATCATCAAGCCATTCAAGACGAAAGCCAAAAGCACTACTAAGCATGACCAAAGCAACATGGAGGAATTAGGTGAGACCTTACCTTACCTTTCCTGCTTCCCAACTACTTTCCTGTAAAAACCTTTGGAAATACCTTTTCCCCTTCTCTCAATTCTGCAGCTCCTGCCTACTTTGGGAATATAAAGCTAAGGGGAAAAAAAGAACAACTAAACTAAATGACTAAATATCTGGACTTGTAATTTCTGGATACCTGGGCTCCCAAAAGGTTCTTTATTCTTACAGAGACTTATTATTTTACCTATTTGCTAAGCTGGGAAAAAAAAGAATATTTCTTCCTTCCTTTCTTAAATTGGATAAAAGCTTAATTTTACATGTTACTGGGGACATCTTGTGGCAAAATTTGGTACAGCAAGTGAATTTTTTTTTGACTGGGAGACTTCTGAGACTAAAATTTGTCCTTGACATTGTCAAAAAAGATAAGAATTTGAAACAGCTGGGTGGTGAAAATAATTCTCTATAGTTGTGGTGGACATTCATTGCTTTTTTAAAAAAATTAAAAATAGCCTCCACTAAAGGACTATCTGTAAATACCACAGAAATGAAGGAATACCACCCAGCTTAACTTCAAACTTATACTTGAAAAAATCTTAGAGGCTACTGAGCTAATGAATTCGAGACTGAAAGATATACACGCCACCTTAAAGCTACAAAACGCAGCCCAGATTTCAACAGTTGAACTTACAACTCAAAAGGCAACAGAAGAAGAAGGAATTAACACTAAAGTGGATTTTAAAGAATACCAGTTACAATCTACTCAGAACTATGATACCCAAACCTTGATTCCATCTAAAAAATCTACAATTTCAACAGCAACAGAAACTGAAGAAAGCAACACTAAGACAGAAGGTGTTGAAGACTTACATACACAGTACACTGAGAATTCAGATAACCCAAATAACAACTATAACATTGAATATGACTTTGTCTCTAAACCAGCTGAAACCAGAAAAAGAAGAAGACCAGCTTGAACTCACGACAAATATACTAAGCCAAATATGGAGACTCAAACTATCAGGCCAACAATCTAATGACTATGAGGGGTCTAGCTTCCTTGACAAGTTGATAACTGGATGGTCTCCCTTATTCAAATGACATATTCAGGAATGAAGAGAGATCCACCCGAGGATTTAAAGGCTCTGCTATGGAAGCCTGTTTGGCACAAAAGGAAGGACAGAGTTAAACTTAAAAATGGTTTTCTTTGTGTGACTTTTAATGGAAGAGCCTAAAGTCTCACTTAATGGGCTAAGTAACCGAAATGTTGGAGATGTGGTAGCTTGGATGCTGCTTATTTTCATATCTGGTGGACTTGTAGAAATATAAAAGCTTTTTGGATTAAGATTTGGTGGAACATTCAAAAATTTTTTAGGAGAAAGACCTAAAAGGACCACTGCCCTCCCATGATCAACAAGGGTCCCCTCTTTCTCCATTGCCTCTTTGGGGTAACTTTGACCCTTTTTAGCATCCCCAGCAGGGCAAAATTGAATGCGGAAGATGGAGCTCCATCTTCCTGCATCTGTTATGCCCCAACATCCACTCACTTTTATTTCCACCCTCCAAGTACTTTGTCAAATCTATTATGTTCCCCAGATACTAGCCTTATCCATGGCAATCAATCTTATGGTCAGTACAACAATATATTATTTAAATTTAAATTTGAAATTGTCTCATATAGTTCTTATAGTCTTTGCTAGCCTTATCCAAAACAACTAATCTTATAGTCAGTACAGCAATAAATTTAAGTTTAGATTTAGAATTGTATCATATAGTTCTTTTAGCTTTTATATATAGCCTTTATAATCCCATAGATTCCAAAATATAGGTTCATTTTGAACAAAAAGTTTTTTTAAAACAAGTTTTATTAATTTTTCATTTTTACAAAGCTTCAGGTATTAAGAAAGCAATATGGTAGTTGGGTAATTCATAGTCCAATAACAGGCTTTACATCAATTTACATCATCAAAAATTCCTCTCTGTTTCTCTTAGTTATTATACCACATTCAAATTAATACATTACTAGTTGTAACTCAATCATTTGAAACATTCATCAATAACTTTTGACTTATATGCCTCCAGATCCTGTTTTTAACTTTTATCTGATTTCAATTGCAGTATTCCAGTTAGATTAATGTCCATAGTATTTAGGTTTTGGATATCCCACGGTTCCCTTAGTTCATTACAAAATAGTTATCATATCTAAAATCCACTTATTATTTATTCGAATAAATTCTTAGTTTATTTTACAATCATATTCTACTTCTCATTCTAATATCATCACCTACTACTATTACTACTACTACTACTACTACTACTACTACTACTACTACTAAAGTTAGAAGGGACCTTGGAGGTCATCCAGTCCAACCCCCTGCTCAGGCAGGAAACCCTATACCACTTTAGACAAATGGCTGTCCAGTCTCTTCTCTTTTTTATTGAGACGTTTTATGAAAATTACAGTATACACCCCAAAGCCCACCCACCCTAAACCCCCCTCTCCCTCCCCCACTTCCCAGAGCTGAGTACAGGGTTACAAATATAATAATCAAACTCTAACATTAACCAACTATATAAATAACCGTCCATAATGCACTTTAACTCCCCTTTAACATAGGTATAAACAAATTAAAAATAAACATAATAATATAAACAAGTTGATATTATTAAACAATACAATATCCAAATTGTTAAACAATACTAATACTAAAATAATAATAAAAGTAATAAAAATTCTACTATAATAAACTATTAATAATAATAATACTTTAAAATTTACTCATAAACTAAATGGAACTTTTTAGTCCCGTATTTATTCTGAATATAATCTATCCATCTTCTCCAGACCGAAATGTATCTTTCTTGTGAATGATCCTTCAAGTAAGCAGAAATTTTCGCCATTTCTGCTAAATTTGACACTTTAAACATCCATTCTTCTATAGTCGGCAAACAATCCTTCTTCCAATATTGCCCTACCAATAACCTTGCAGCTGTTATCAAATTCAACATCAAATTAATTTCTTTAGCATCTACAATAACACCCAATAAAAATAATTGTGGAGTAAACTTTTGATCCAAGGAAGTCTTCCAAACTAGTGGGGGAAAGACTGGCTACATTTGTGTAGCCAGTCAGAAACTGCTGACAACCGAAAAAAATA